AATTATCTGCATAATAGAAAACAAATTTGAGGCTATTGAATGTGGAATAGACACAGTTGAAAGTAAAGTTAGAGAAACTGAAGGAAGAGTTTCTACCAAACAACAAATTGGAGAAAGAGTTACCTCTGTCGAACAACAAATCGGAGAAAGAGTTACTTTTGTCAAATGACAAATCAGAGAAAGAATTTTTTCTCTCAACCAAAAGTTGAAGAGAGCATTTCTACTGTCGAACAACAAACCAAATTATAGAGTGTCTGCTGTTGGCAAAGAAGGTGACAGCTCAAAGAAATTCTAGCGACAGCAGGAAGCAATTCTGACAGTTTTAAATTTTTACCCATGCCTACTTATGATGGAAAGACCTCCTGCAAGAATACAAGACTTAGTTCTTTGTAACGGCAGACGAAAGTGGTGAGATTCCCAAGCTAAGAACTGCCGCTTCTCTGAAAGTACATGCAGTGGATATCTTTGTAATGCATAATTTAAATTATAAAACTATTTGTAACATATTTTTTATGTAAAATATAGGAAATTAAAATTTAAAATAAAAAAATGAATATTAAGTTATATTTTTGGCTAATTTTATTTCTGCAATTTGGTACAATTTTAAACTAATGCAAAACCAAGTCATAAAGAAAAACCTCTGCAAATATCTAATGGAATAAAGCAGCTTTATATGGAATAAAAATTATACTGAAAATTATGTGTGGCTTGGAATTTGTACAATTTTGCTTCACTAAGATATAACAACAATATTATCTTAGGTTTTTTAAGTCCAAAAGGGGGTAGTTTTCCCAGAAGGATTAATTTCGTTTTGGCATTTTGCATCGATTCACTATAGATATTCATTCACTTTTCAAACTGCTGCCACCAAATATTAGAGCACTGTATTATATTTTAAAAAATTAAATAATGAAGAATCTGCATAAATGTGTGCATGTTTCTTGCATTGTGATATAGCAACAGTACCTAGAGCCATCAAATTTTGAATAACGTAATCTTCCACCAAATATGAGCATCTGAAAGCCCTAATTTGGAATTTGTTTTATTATCGATTTCATAGTTTGTAACACTTTAACAAATTTTTAATTAACAAACTCAATGATTTCAAGGAGAGCAATGGTAACACTGTACAGGGGGTGAGAAAAAAATTTATCTCCAGCACAAATTTTTGATTACCAAACTCACCAATTTCAAGGAGAGCAATGGCAACACTGTACGGGGGTATCTCCAGCGCACAATTTTAAAGATATCCTGATTTTAAAATGATTTTGCAACATTGCTGTTGAACTGAATTTTATTTTTTAAGTGTGAAGAACATAATAGTTAATAAATAAAGGTAATACACAAAACGTTAAAAAAAAAAAAAAAAAAAAAAAAAAAAGCTTCTTTAGGTAAATGTAAAATCGGAAAGCTTTTAGGCTTTTTTTTTGGGGGGGGGGTCACTTTGACCAAGTGATCTAAAACTACATTTGAAAAAGATGATTTAAATTCAAATACAATTAAAACTGGAATATTTAGAGACTTACTCGAATATCAAGTCTATTGGTTTTATTGAGAGAATAGGCAACTCTAATAGATTTCATTTTTTGACTGCATCAGTTATTATGTTTAAATTTTTATCACTGACTTAATATTAAAAAAAAATCTGTTAAAACTATACAGATTTTTTAAATGTAAGATTCATGTCATGTAAACATAAAATTTGTTTCCTCAACAAATATTTGGAATTATGGAGTAGAAATTATAGCTTGTTGTTAAAAAATATCTAGGAATACAGTAACTTCAACACCTGTTAGTGAGGTATTTCATATTTAAAGGCATACTGCATTACAAAACCAAATATTTACATTCAGGCAGAAATTAACTTGTCTAAAATCACATCAGGTTTTAATGAAAGTTTCCTGCAACTGCAAAAATTGGTCTGTGTAAACAGTTCACGTTTGCATGTTTAATCATATTTTGTCCTACTATTTTTGACATTTGAAAGAAAGAAACTTTAAAGCACTGTGTTGTGAAATTTGTAAAAAAAAAAAAAAAAAAAAAAAAAAAAAAAAACCCATTAAGGTGTCTAAAATGGAACTATCACACTACCAGATTAGAACCATTATTTTCTTCCAGTTCTTTTGCAAAACATCAGTTACAGAATGTCACCAAATCATGTGCACAGCTTTAAGTACTAATGTATCATATGACACTGTGAAGGTTTGATACCAAAAGTTTAAAAACATGGACTGACATACAAGAAGCAGAGGGCTCTGCTGATGTTGATGAAGCCCAAATAAGAGAACTTCTGAAGAAGATCAGTATGCAACCATTCAAAAGTTTACTAAGGACATAGACGTTATTGCAATGTCCATTAGTCTCGCTAAGCATCACATAAACTTGATGTGCAAGTTTAATTACTGGGTGCCGCATGAGCTGACTCAAGCAGATGAAGACAGACGTGTTCGGGTATGCAGTAATCTGCTCGAATATCAACACAAGAACAAAATTATGGACCAGATCACCACTTGTGATGAAAAGTGGATTACTTCAATAACACAGGCTGGGAAGGTGGTTTGTGTGTACCCGGTGTCGCAAAGTGCAATTTGCCTAACAAAGAGTACCAGCGCAAAAAGGTAATGTTCCATCAAAATAATGCAAGACAGCATGTGTCTGCATTCACCAGCTGAACATTGTATGGACTCGAATGGGATCTTTAGCCACACCCACCATATAGCCCCGACATCTCTCTCTCGGACTTCTACCCTTTTTTACATATGCAGCTCCATCTTGCTGGTGTTATCTTCCATTCGGTACAAGATGTCCAAAATGAGGTTGATCTGTTTTTGGACTCACTGCCACCAAGTTGGTACAGAAATGTTGGCAGAAAATCATAGATTTTAGTTATTACTACCCACACTAAAAGTACTGCTTTCTTGTTTTTTTCCCCTAACTTTATTAGAAACGTTTATTGGCAGAAAACTTTCATTACAGCCAGATATTTTTCTTTCTAAATAACAGATTGTGATTACACTTCAATCTTAATATCGGAAAAAAATCTTTGAAAAGAACAACTAAGAAAAATACTTTATTGTCTGAACTATTCATGAAATGTAATTTATAGAAGTATATAAAATGTTAAATTGCCCTTTCATGCAATTGAGGCCTTTTTAAAATTCTGATTACACTGTGATTTAACTATATGTGTTAAACGTATAATTTTCTATTTATTTCAAATCATGTTGTATTACATTAAATACACTTTAATAAACTTACATGCCTTGAACTGCACATTGAATTTTGTAATCTTCTTCATGAGATGGCCACTTTTATCCAATCGTGTATGACCTCTATGATTTCTTTTTGATATCAAGGAATTTGCCTAGCTCTGCCATAATTTTGAGGGAAAATCTATTGAGGAATGAGGCCAAGGCCCTCTTATCCTTCTTTCCCTATCGCCAACCTCTCAAGAGGACTTCTGACTCAGTTTCAAGAATTATTTAATAACTTCAGTTGATTCTCAAGAATTATCTGTTCTGCTAATCTAATTGGTAGGTATGGTGATTGATAAAAGCTAGTTCCCATGCTGATGGACTCAGGTTAAAATCTCAAATAAAGTATAGACACTTGCGATAGTAGTGTACATAAAATGGGGACACAAAATCTATCAATCTGGAAGTCCCTTTGAGAGACTGTTGGCAATTGAAGACAGCTGTTGGTATGCGAAGACATATTCCATCTTTTAGTTGATCAAAACTGAGGTAGAGTGTGGCCATATAACTGTGAGATGCTTAATCAAATAATTAAACTGAATTCAATAAATTCCCATTATAAAATAATATCTGTATGTAGACTTAAAAAAAAAAAAAAAGAAAAAGAAAGAAAGAAAGAAAAGAGACTCATTTTTGTATCTAACTTTGTATTTTAATGTGCTCTCTTCCTAAAGGAATCATAAAGTGTTAGATTTCATATTTGCAGTTCTCCCATGCATATTATCAAAATTCTTGTAAAATTCTTTACCTCAATTTGAGAAAATTTGCAGTTGTAAATATATACACATTCTTTCATTTTTCATCAGGCAACCCAAATCATCTTTTCTTCTGGAGGATGGGGAGTTTTTTCCCTCCATATCTACAATTAATATCACAAGAAAATTATAAAAAAAAAAAAAAAAAAAAAAAAAAAAAAAGGAATAGAAAGAAAGAAACTGTAGCCATCTTTTCGAGGTATTGGTTTATATACATATGTGGATAAAATTCTTAACACATGGATCTAATAATGCCTTAAATAAAGTGTGAAATTCCAATGTAAAAAAACTTTGCCATTTTTGTTCTTTGTGTGTACATTTATTACATACATATGCAGCAATTTTATGACTTTAAATCATAACTTGCCATTTTTTTGGGTCAGTACAATTTTAAAATTCCTCTTGCCTTTCAGTTTTATAATTAAAAGTATTAAAATCCTATTTCCATTAATGTGTATTTCTGTTTTTTTTTCTACCTGCTAGAATTTATATTTTAGTTTAAGAAAAATTACAGTTAAGTACTCATGAACTCTTAAGTCTTTGGTGCTTAACTCTCTGAGCAGTTTGGCAGCTTTTAACCTGTCTTGAGCTTTGCTGATCTAAAACACCTGCCATCAAATTTAGTATTTTCTGTATTGTACATTATTAACTGTAGTAACTGTAATGTATAACTATATATGTGTAAAATATTATACCAAATAATTTAATGCAATATCTTATATTAGAAAAGGCGAAAAAATTTTTTGGCATGAATGCATCCAGTAATTCGTTCAGTTTTAAATGCAATTATGGGATCAGACTGTCACAAATCTTTAATCTTTTGACTATTATCTGACTATCTAAGACTATCATGAAAAAACTTTAAATTCAACTTCAGAAATGATTTACAGAACATTATTCATTAAGAAATAATCCTCCTTATTACATTAAATGTAAGATAGGTATTATTTATTATTATTTTTATTTTATTTTATTTTATTTTTTTTTCCAGGGGATAGAGATTCTCTACGAAAATGTATTGTGTCTGCCTTTTTTGCAAATGCTGCTTTCTTACATTATACTGGTGTGTATAAAACTGTCAGAGGAGAACATACTCTCTACATTCATCCAGAATCAGTTACTTCTCTAACAACTCAACCCAAATGGTAAAAACAGGAGTTTCAGCTAATTCATTTCTCAAGAATTATCTGTTCTGTTAATCTTTTGCAATATACTAATCCATATTTATTTTAGGGTTGTTTTTAATGAAGTTTTACACACAACTAAGGAATATATGAGAGACGTAACAGTTATTGAACCATCATGGCTTTATGAATTAGCACCTCATTATTATCAATTTGGAACTGTAAGTATTTTCCCTCCTCTAAATTATTCATTTCACATATTTTTTATGAAAATATAAATTCTGTTCTATTCTGAAACTTAATGCAGAATGATTTAATATATTATAAGTAAAACTACATTTTACTTAAAATGTCTGTTTTACAGAGGCTGTTTGCACATTTTTTAGATGATTTTCATTGTAATTACAGAAATATTTTACCTAAAATTTTTATGTTTTAAACGTTCTATTTGATTACCCTTATTTTTCACTATCCTTATACACCATAATTTTCAAGAAAATAAAGCTTTTTGTAGTATCAGAAAAGGTATTTTATTCCATTGGTCTCAAACAGCTTTCCAAAGTGTAAGGAAGTTGTAGGTCAACATTTGAGCAATCCACTTTTTAAGAGGCCAAATGTGCAAAAATACATTGGTGACAAATGAAGATATTTAGCACAGACAGGAGAGAAGATTATGGCCTTAATACCTGTTTTTTTTTTATCCATTTTTTTCACAGGAAATAAACAGTGGATTTTGATGTGTCGCTACTTGCTTTGTCTTGATGCAGTTTTACTGATTGATCATGCTGTGTATAAAGAGAAAGTATTTCATATTTGAAAATTGGATATAAAATAGGTTTTTGATATATGGAGTTGATTTTAACATTTTTCTCCACTCTCTTTATTTTTAGTTTGGTGTTATATGAAAAAACGGTAACAATCATAAAAACTTTTAGATTCCTTGAACCATGTTTTTAAGATTTTTGTCTCCTCTTTGATGATAATAAATGGACCTCTTTTTATTTATTTTTAGTCATTTAAGTACACCCAAGATTCGTCTATTGTGACAATATTTCTCCATTTTTATCCAGATAAATGTTTCTCATAAAGAATTCTGCAGTGCGTTCTGCATTCAGCAATATGTCACGGAGGAAGACAATGCATATTATGTCTTTTCGCCTTTTAAAAATTCTCATCAGCATTGATCACTTTATTTAGTTGCTGATTTTGCAATTGTCCTTTGATTCGGAGGATTTTTTTAAAAGATCTTACTTTTGCAACATTCGAAACATTCCATTTTATCCTTGGATAGGTATTTGAAACAATTTTCCCACTTGAATCTAAACTTTGATGTTTTTTCCCCTCTGCTATTGAGAATATTACCTATCGTAGCTTTAGATATAAAAAAAAAGCATGACTTTCAGAACATTTTTTAATAACTAGATTTGAATAATTTTCTTCAGAAAGAAAACAAAAAGGCTTCCATCCATTGCTTCTTTAAAAGCGACATTTGCATGAAAACAAAACTTTCAAGTAGAAGACGATAATTTATACTTTCAAAAATATAGTTGTAGTTAAAAAAAATTTTCCAAGCAGAAGAATTTTTTACAGCAAAGCAAAATTGTCTAAAAAGTGTGCAGACAGCTTCTGTACAATTACATATGATTAGACATGAATTATTTCTAGACATAGTATTTTTTCCTTGTTACAATACAAAACAGCCAAACTAATAAGCAGCCTTGCTACAGCTAATCTATACAGAATAAGATATTTTTTATCTCACAAATTTTAAGAGCCTATTGCTTGCTAGTGTTACAATGTCATGTGCCTCTCTTAATAACAGTTTTAAACTTTTCAACAAGAACAAGTTGTATTCACATTTTTATCTATAATAACGAAACAGTCTGCCTATGCACACACTTCAAAATGCCAAGACAGGTAAAGAACTACAAAATTCGTACATGTATTGTCTAGATCAGGGGTTCCCAACCATGGGAGAAATTTCATAGTTTTAGAGGGGAATGTGGTCAGCCTTTTATTTAGCTGTTAAGTATTTTGTTTTGGGTTATGAATATGAACACTAATATTATTAAAATTTTGGCATTTACCAACATTTTCTATATTTTTTGTCGTTTAATTTATGAAACACATTACAAAATAATTTTAATCTAATGTACATAAATGTATACAGTACCCACCACTTATTAAATCACTAAAAAGGCAATTTCAATATTGCAAATTATGGTATCAACTTTGAACTTATTTAGTAAGATATTAACTAACAATCTAATAATGATCTAATAATTACATTTTTTAGTCTCTTTTCTGGTTGTACAAACGGTTTTTTAGTTTTAATTTGAACTGGGGATTTCAGTTTTCTTTTCAGCTCTTTCTTGCCTCTAAGTGCCATTAGACCTTCTATAACTGAGAGACGAAAATCTTTCATCGTTTTTACAACATGATCGGGTTCGCGAACAAACTTAAATAAGAATAAATGTGTTTACTATACTCGCATCTAAAAAAGTAAAAAAAGATATCCTGTGCCATCATTTCTTGCTTTTGCAGGCCTATTTCATATAATCCTTTCAGTTGATCAAATAAGTCGACATATTCCATATTCTTATTATATGAAATAATGCTGTTTGGGCACAGTACTTTTTTTGTTGTTGTTGTTGTTATTGTTTTTCCATCTCGTTCTTTTCTATTAATTTCTTTCATTTCAGTTGCCTTTTCCAAGCAAGACAGGAATAGAAACGGATCTTTTATCCTTCCAATATTTCTGCAATAAATTGAATAATCGCTAACTGAAAAGTCTATATCTTCCTCTCGATATAAATTTGTCTTCTTTTAAATTTTTGGGTAAGATACTTCCGATTCATATTTACAGTGCCACATGCATAGATGCTCTGTGTCTTTAAAAAGCGAAACAAATTATAACTACTTCTCTTTCTTCTTCTTCTGCAATAACTTCAACCTCAGTTATTCTCTCCTGGATTTCAATTTCATCTAATCAGAACTGACATCTGAAGCATTTGAGTAGCAATCGGATGGCAATTCAGCAAAAAGATCCAAAGCTTCCTGTGTTGTTAATTTTTTCTAGACATTTTAGCACATCAGAGCATACAATGGATGTGAAAACGTGCGCAATCACGAAAAAAGTAGATGTAAAAAAGAAAAGAAAAAAATAATTGTGAGTGCTGCCATCTATTGAGCAGAAATTCAAGTGTGTGGTGGGACAAATTTTAACCCACTTATTTCAACTGTAAAATTAATGTTATAAAATATTGAATCCAATTAATATTTTTGAAAATAAAATACCTTTGAATATTAAAAAGAATCATACATATCCTAAATTGTATACCAAAAATTTTTAAATATTGAAAAATGCGAGTTACCTGGATATCCCTCTTGTGATCCTATTTTGAATATATTTTGCTTATAAACTTAAGCCCTGGTATAGTAGTGACATCTACTGAGAAAAATAATAACTAAAATCGATTACTTTTAAAAGATTAGAAAATTTCTAATGGAAATTGCTAACTGAGAAAATAAATATTAATTAGGTGGGACACATATTGACCCACCATGCCGCAAAGGGTTAATAAACCACAGTTTACCTATTGATTAATATATTCTTATTTTGGTTCCTGGAAATTTGAATGCAATAAGCAGCTGAGTTTATTACACAGCGAGTTTAATAAGCAGCAGGCACTGTATATGTAGGTTTCCAAGTTTTGGAATGGAAGGAGGGAAATGATCTTCTAGCAATGGCAGAAAGGGTGCATCAAGCAAAAATGGTTGAGGATCCCTGGTTCATATGCAGCTTGGAGATTTTTTTTAACTAAGATTTTTCTCTAATACTATTTTGAAATTTTTACAGTTATACTAATCCTCCTTCTCTTGCTGTTAAACAAAAACAATAAAAATATTAAGCAATTTTCCATCACTTCAGACTCAAGAAGTTTTGTTCCTTTATGAAGATGAACATGGAAACAGTTGTGACAGTCATATTTCTTTTTATCCTTGTCATACAGAATTATTTTCAAAGAAATTATGCTAAAAATTGTGGAAATACAATGCTCTTTGGTTTTCTTTATTTTATTATTATATACAGTGGTATCTCAGTATATGTCATTAATCTGTTTTAGATCCTTGGATGTATGCCAAATGAATTTTTCCAATAAAAAATAAAAGGAAAATAATTAATGCATTCTTGTTAAAAAATTCTAAACTCTGTTTACACTAAAATACAAATGAAATGGAAAAAAATTATATAGTGCTTATATATATTTCTGGTTTAGGATGTACAACAACAGAATTTAAGAAATGTTTGCTAAGAAATTTAATATTTAATGTTATTTTATCCACATTCTTAGCATTTTATATGAAGAGTTGATTTTCTTATTATTATATCTATAGTTATAATCTGTTACAGGGCAGTTATTACGTTTAATCCTATTTTTCTTGCAATATTTTTTACTTAATATCAACAGAATCTTAAGCATAGGAACAAAAATTTTCAAATGATTAATTACATATTTTGGCATGTTAGTCTTTTGCCACTTCAGTATGTGTATTTCTTTAAGATGTTGTGGAAATAGGGTTTTAAAATTTTCAATTAATTTAATATTGATATTAACATTAAATATAAGAATTTAAACAAACACTTTCAGGTTTATTTTATTTTTTAATGACAAAGATGCACAATAAAACAAAGTCTGCAATGCATTTTAAAAGAATCTACTGGCATATATAACATGATACCTCATCCTTTGCTACTTCATTTCCTTCGTGCTTTCATTTAGCTCGTTTCATTGTTTGCTAAGTTTTAACCCATTCGGGATGAATGCTGCAAATATGCACCAGCACTAGGTGGTGCCTTCAAAGTCTAATGCCGCATCCTCGTTTTACGGCAAATCTAACACAGCGGGACGACCGCCGCACGGTTGCGTCGTGCTTTTGGAACGAAATATTTACTAACAGATGGCATTACTAATCCATGTTCCATTCAAAAGATTGTGCTTGTACATTAGTATTTCTCTCTCTGAAGTCAAAATGGGGTTGTCAAGTGTCTGTGATTTATTGGATTTTCTTGACTGTAAACACGTGCTAGCGGGTAAAAAGGGAAACGCGTGGTCTTTTAGCTCATTTTGAAGTGTTTGTTTATAGTTTCGATTCTATTTTAGGATGGGATTTTATGGGAGATATTCTAGCATGGGTTTTACTTTTAGATTTCACTTGTGTAGCCATGGCTAAAAGACCTTGCTGTCTTTCTGAGGAGAAAATTTCTAAAGTTATAAATAATCCATCTATGGATCTTTCCGACGATGACAGTGAAAAAGCTATAAATTATTGGAGTTCTTCATAGTAGTTCTGACTTAGAAGATGATAATAGACATGCATGGTTGAAATTATGCATGATAATAATGCAATCTGTCTCTGCATTGATCCATGCTTTGAGATTTTTCATATTGCTTTGAAATATTAATTATTACAATATTCTTTAAGTATTTCATAATGTTAAGTGTAAATATTTTTTTTTATATTGTATCAACATTTAGTGTTTAATTTAGGTATTTTCAGTTATAGTAGAATACAATATATTCTTATTGTTAAATATCAATTATTTTAATAAAATTTTTTTGTTATGATTGAAATTGATATCTTTAATAACATATTTCAAAATGGTTTCATTTCTACATAAAGTGTACATTTTATCCATTATTGTGTAATAGATGAACACTGTTATGTAATGTGTACTTTCCGAAATTGCGTATTAGGCTTACCAGGAGAAAAATGCCCCAGCTTGTAAGCACAATCTGCGTGCAACAGCACCCGTCCTGAGGGAGTGCTTTCTTCCATTCTCGAGTGGGTTAAATGTAGAAATTACTTTTAACCGCATTTTACAATTCTTTTTGTAAATTTTAGGTACATACATATTTGATTACAATTCAATATAGGGATTTTATTCAAATTTCAGGACAGAATTTTCTTGTATATCCTTTCTTACCCCCCCCCCAGAAAACGTACAAGATTCACTCCCTAGTGCCACCCCCTTTCCCCCCCACAGGCAAGCGTAGTTATGAGATGTGTTAGGGGGAAAGTAAATGCAAGTTTTGCTGTCTAAAACCTGTTTATTTTCACAAAATAAAGAATTAAATGAAAGTATAAAATTTAATGTTTAGAGTAAAAGTATAATAAAAAAGATGTAAGTACAATAAAAATGATGTTTGTATAATAAAAAAGATCCCGAAAAAATGGAGTTTCGATCAATTTATTTTTAAACCAGTAAAATGCAATATCAGGTTTCAGTGTTATACCTTGTAAAATCAGTCTACCTAAGTGGAAAGTGTGGAGGCAGCATAGGAAAGTTTTTCATACAAGTTGTATGCAACGCTGAGCATCTTTAGGAGAATAGTCGCAATATCATATTCCGAGGTGTCTGATCCCAAAGATGACATTATTCAAACAAAGGCATGACCAATAACTGGGCAGTCATTACTTTCACCATTTCAGAAACATCCTCTTCTCCATGTCTCCCCCCCCCCTTTCCGAAATAGTATCCTCCTTTGCATAATCTGTCAAGGTCACTGTGGTGTTGCATTCCAAAGCTTTGTGAATAATTTTACTGGCAGCAGCGCAAAGCAAATGGTAGCATTCAGCTATTTCAGTTAACTGCCCTGGGTGTATATATACGCCCAGGGCAGTTAACGCATCAGCTGAGCAAGGCATATAAATGATAGTTAAGGGTAGTTAAGGGGTTAATGATCAAATTGATCATTTAAGAATTGCAATCAGTTAGGTTGAAATATAATCTTCGAAAAACCACTCAAAACACTAACTTGATTTATACCAAATTTTGGCATTTTTTAAGAAAGCATTCAATTTTTTTAATCCATCCTGCAACTGCTAACAATGAAGGACCTTCCAAACAAAAGATTTAATCTTTCATTGTTAGCAGTTCCATTTAAGTGATGATGAGATTAGATTTCCTACTCAAACATAAGTTTAAATGAACTGAATGTAATTCTGCACCACTGGATAAATTGAAAGACCTTCACCACAAAGGAACATTTATATCTTTTTAGAGCAACAAAATCTTTAAAATCTAGAAGTTCAAAAATGGGGAGAAAAATTTATTTCTCAAAGCAAACAAAAATTGTTTTTCAAATGAATATTGGAAATGTTTAACAAATTAGCAAATAAAATACACTAGCAGGAATATCGTTTGTTTGTTGTTACAATATATTTACAATGGAGGAAGGAATAAAAAGAAATACCTTCCTCCTTTACCATGGTTGATGCAATGCTGTCAAGCTTTGGAAAGTCTAAAGGGTGTGGCGCTTTTGTTTACATTCAGAGCACTTAACCCTGATAAGTTATTTTGAAAAATCGCAAATCAGAAGAACTTTATTTGTTCTTGATTTTTAAACTTCAGTAAAGAAATTTTAGTAACCTATTTCTCAAAATCACTTAATATCTTTTTATATCTATTTTATTAGTTTATATTTTGCATTATATATATTAACCTTTTCAACAAAATGTGTTTCTTTTCAGGAACGTGAAATCTCTATGAAAGAAATCAAGCAATAAAATTTATCTTTCTATTGAAAATACTTTTATTTATAAAACCAATATACATTTATACATATACATTCACATATAAAATAAATACTACTGGAACAATTTGCAGTATTTTAAAAATACAAACATGTAAAAAGATAAATATATATGTCTGTGATTTTAAAATCTTTTCTTACCCAAACAATGGTTTAAATCTTCTAAAATTTGGCATGATGGTGGTCCAGACTAGTTTTCCATATAGCCTATAGTTTTGAATTTAAAATTATATACAAACTTTTATTGTACACAGTACTTTGTATACTCCTATTAATGATTAAACATGATTTTTAATATTCACATATTTTGCACCCTATGAAAATCTGCTTACACTGCAGAGAGTGATTTAATTTTACAACTCGATTATGCAGCTGAAAATTTTCTCAGTAGTTGAGTATAAAAATTTAACTAAAATTAAAAAAAGTATCAAAGTTAGTCTAAATCAAATATTAATTTTTATTAGTAATATTTTATCTGTAAATGAGCCAAATCATTGAATTATACTTTACATTTTATTATAAAACTTTCAAGCTAATGTATTTCTTTCTATTTGTAAAATGTGCTACAAATTTATCTGTTAAAGAAGGCAGAATTTACAAATGAAAACATTCTAAATATTTTTATTTAAGCTTGAAATTCTTTATATCCATAAAAAGTCTAACATTAACAGCATGCTTAATGGGTCTTCTAAAACCGAAATAATCAAAAGTGTTTTTATATAAAAAATACACAAAACAATTTCTAAAATACATAATATTTTCATTTTATGTATTTTTTTATTTCTTGAATAGTATGGAATGTAAATAGCCATCTTGATAAATTTTTTCATGCATTACATCTGATAATGTTAATTTTCTGATTGGTGTCATATTTTTCAATATCTTAGCACAGCATATCATCATTATCAGTTTTACATATATTTTGGAATAGCAGATTTGCAATTTACAATCTTATTTCACTAAAATAAAGATTCAGTTTCAAATTTCTTTTTGAATACATTTTGTGGATACATTCCAAAATTCATTCAAAATGGAAATTTTTCTTGGCCTAATATACCTTTGTCAAATAACTCATGTTTAAAGTAAACGTATTGTGTTAAAATTTGAGCATAAGAGAAATTTTAATCAATATGAATTTTGTACTGTTTACATCTAATCAGAAAATACTCATACCTTTTCTATATCTGATGAAACTCTGCACTACTCACTAAACTGAGGAAAATTTATCTCAATTGCAGGATCTTTAGCTCACTATTTTAGCATCAGTTAATAAATCAACTGTTGACAAAATATTTAGTGAAATATTCACTCAGGAATGACAAACAAATTTCTCCAGAACAGCCATATTATTAATTTCCGTTCAAAATTGAAATCTTATCATTTGAACTATCGAATCACCTATTGATATATTAAATGATACAATAATGAGAAAAATCTTTAAAATCATCCTGATTTTGGTGTTTGCTGCCCAGACGGTATAGTGGTTAGAGGAGCCTATTGCAGTACCGAAGGGCCTGGGCTCGAATCTCTGAGAAGGCATGGATGTTGTACTTGTAGAATGGAGACACTCTAAATATATGGTAAGCCCAAAGTCCTGTTGTGTGGTTTGGTGGTAGGGGAGAGGGATGGGAGACCCTCGGACCATCTCTCAGGGGGCTCTTAAAATTGGGGTGGAAGTAGAAGTCCAACCTCCATGAGGCTCTGGCAACCATTCTTCCATGAAACACAAAGACAAAATAACTATTGCCATTTATTTTAAACTAAGAGAACTTATACGAATGAAAATACTTAGAATATGTTAATTACAGGCAATAAATTACTTGGGCAGTACTTACACTTGTTATACGAGTTACTGATCTGGCTTGAGTTGGTTGCATCACTATGCAGAAATGCCTAGCACATATTTCATGTGTAAGACAGCAAACATAAATGGAACAGCCATACTATAATTGTAAACAAATGTCTAATCGTTAAATGCTTCAGTGTTTGCATCAGAGATAATATGAAAATGGATCATTCTTAGAAAATAAAGAATTGTGGTTGGAAAAAAAAAAAAAAAAGGATTCACATACCTGCATTGAAAGAAGCAACTGTATGTAAAATTGAATACTATTCACAAACTATGTCCAAAATATAAAAAGTATAATATAAGGAATGCTTACATTTCTTTTGACATACTATCGGATCCAATCACTGATGGCAGCTAGTTACAGCCAATGTATACAACCTGCACAATAAATTTCTGCACCAAGGTGAAGTACAGCTTGATACCTTAAGAACTGCATTAAATATGACAGTAACCTCATATTACTGAGGAACTTAATTATACCCAAAACAGACTTGCATTTTTCACAAATTTATCAATTTAAGCATCAGCATTGTGAGATATGCATCACTGCTTGTGAAAGAAACTTCCTCTTAAAAAATTGTATACATATTCCTTGTTGCACATATTGCCAATAAATAAGTTGTAATACCTTCTTTATTTCTCCTTATTCATCTACTTCTAGCATCCATTTTCAAACATATGTTCCTATACAAATATAATTTGTACACCACACCAAGCTTTAAATTTCATATAGAAAATTTTGAAATATCTTATATAAGCTTGAGATTGTAACACCTACATAGCTAGCTATAACGTGTAACTATATTCAATACTAACATCATTACAATATTTTAATGGAAACTGAAAAAGATTAAAAATATATAATAAAAGAACACTGTTTAAGATTTGTAATTTAAGGAGATTATTGACTGAGAGTATGAAAAAAGTATTTTTTTATGTGACTCATAAATATTTTAAATAACAAACCAATATATTACAAAAAAACGGGGAAAAAAATATAAATGTATACCTCTATAATCAAGATCCTTCTTCAACACTTGTAAATGAAGGCAATTCAGTAACATTTCCTGAATATGTTGCAACAGGTGTACTAGATAAGGGTATGAAAGATGGTTGCTTGGGAAAACTTTGCATCCTCGGCATAACTACATTGTCACAACTTTCATTGACAGAAATATTTCTGCTAGTGCAGGGTAGAAAATATCTTAACAGGAGTTCCTCTGGTTCTTTTTCATTTTGTTTTTTGTTTGTATTATCTTTCAAGCTAGAAAGAAAAAAGAAAATTAGAACATTTCACTTTTTCTGCAATAAGTAAGGTCAATGCTAGAGAAGCAGAGATGAGGCAGACATATTTGGAATATGTAAGATCTTGCAACTAAAGGCTATTTTGATTGCATTGGTACACCTTTCTAGCACCATGTGATTTTCATGTCTTAAAATCTGTAAAAAGCACTTTGCAAGACTACTGATATGAAAGTGACGTGCAAGCACAGGAAGCAGTTCATTCATGGCTGAAGAAACTCAAAATTTTCTTCTTTTTAAGAGGTCAACAAATTTGGGGAACTGATCAAAATTTGTATTCAATAACAAAGAGACTGTAAAAGTTATTTTTGTTCTCCCTCACACATTTTAATTTTTTATATAATATATATTCTTTTAGTAGTCATTTTGAAGCATGCTTCTTAAAAGTTAAATATGGATATTAATTTTTGCAAGAGGAGGGAAATAAAATGTTAAACATAAAAATAGTATGAATTTCAATATGACAACTTTATGAGGTAGATTATATAACAAATCTGGAATTCTTGTAATATGACTGAAAATTAAGCTTATGAATGTAATGCATAAAATATAAAAAATATTTCATTATTTTGGATTTATAAATGCATCAATATAAGGGAGAGGGGAAAGGGAAAGAAATAATCATTCCCTTGATTATGCATTTGATTATCTTGCATATGGAAAGGGTTAAACCAAAGTTTAAAACTTTGTTCCAAATATTGCTTACAAAATGAAAATGGGACTTGTTTGAAACTTAAACGATTTCATTTTTATAAACTGGAATCATGCTTCAACCACCTTCTCTGTCTCCCCCCCCCACCCATAATAATTTAGACAAAAACTAACGAAAGAATTAAGAATTTCATTATTTTGCATAAACTATTCATTAGTTTCCTCAAATAGTTTGCAACTGCCATATGAATACATTAGAGTTCTTTATCAGTATTTTTTACTTCAGTTAATGAATAATTATTTCAATAAGAAAACACTATTCAGTAGTTTAAAAAGCCTATATTTAAAAAATTCTGTAGGGCATGGCAGATAATATCAAAATGAGTACTAAAACAATTGTTTCTGATTATGCTCCTTCAAATGCTTGTTTACAAAACAATTGCTTGATGACTGGGGAGAAGAACATTTTACGCAAAATACAAGATGAATCTACAATGTTACACTAAATACCATTGGTTTGAAATATGTTAATATACTGCTGTTGCATAATATCATCTCTAGAATGTTGGCACCTAATTAAATTCATTATCTGTATTATTAACACTCCAACGGTTGCATCTCCTGTATTCACAACCATGTGTTTTAACTCACAGATGATACTAAAAATTCAATTTATTACATTATGAAAGAGGAAATACATTACATTTTATGCAGTTTTAGCAAAATATTTATTTGAAAATTTAAAAAACTAAACAAAAAATAAACTTACAAAAACAAAAGGAAAATAGAGAATGAGCACTTAAGTATGACCAACAAGGAGTATCAAAGACCTCTTAGCTGAAGTATGACCAACAAAGTATTAAAGAGCTTGTAATTTCTAGGGTTAAAATAGCCCTGTTCTATTTTTATAAGACTTGACTACAAATATGAGAAATTTAAAGAATCCTTGCATTATGTAAGAAAGTTAGGTTACAATAAAATTAAAATAACATACTTATTTTTCTTTATTTTTGGAGGAGGATGAGGAAAAGCGCAAGCATCTCCCTTCTCGCAAATACCTTGTACATACTGAGGACACACCAATATATGTGCTTTTTTACACTAAATGGGGAAGAAAAAAAAAAAATATGAAAATATAAAGCTTCTTTATATATTTCTGTTATGTATGTAATTATATTTTTCTGAATTAAATAGTTATATAGAATAAATTCTCTCAAATGCTTAAAAAAATTTACAAAATATTTAACTTAACCAACTCAGTTTTATACGCTATGGAGTATGACTATGATCAGTCCAGATGGAGTATGACTATGACTTTGATCAATCCAGATTCACTTTAATCTGGTTTGAAAATTTCAAAACAAGCTAAATTTTAATTTAGCAAAGTAAAAAAGAAGTGAATTAACTTTTAATGTGTAAATCATTGGTATTTTTCCTCAACACAGTCAAACCTCTTCTTGTGCATTTTTAAATTCTGCAATACAATATATATTTCAATTTTTTCTTTGTTTTCTCCATTGTATGTACCTAGATTCTGTTTATTCTTGAACTATGACAGTATGTGTAGATTATACAGAATGTGCAGTGAACTTTAATGTTGGATTAACTTTTGTCTATTATTTTTCAATACAGAAATCTAAAGTAAAGTCTATTTGTTGTAATTAAATTTTAATACTTGTTAAAAATAATAATGATAAGTACAAAAGGAAAATGTGAAAAATATTCAGTCAAGATCAATATTACAAATTTTACAGAATAAAAAATGAATTATAAAAGACATTCATTTAAAACAATTTCTGATAAAGACATGTGAATTCATTAATCATGTTTTATTTATTCAAAAATAGAAAAAAAAAATGGAAGTAATTTTCTTTTCGTATATGTCATTCCTCAATTAGTCTGGTTTCAAGCAGTCAGGAATATTGGCAAAACTGAATAGGCAGACTATGCAAGATATTGCTGTATATGCCATGAGGAAGACTAATTTATAAAAAAACTTATCACTTTTGAGTATGAAATACACAGTGGAAAAATAGAAATTTAAATATTCATAAATTTACAAAGTATATTATGTAACCAAAAATTCATCAGATTACTACTGTTGATCTTGGAATGGCGTAATGCTATTAATGCAAAGTTGAATATCATATTGTTCTAAACCCATCCACATCCCAGTTTTAAACACACTATTAACTTGATTAATCATCGACATTCAATTTAATAACATATCTTTTGATATTTATTTTAAATTCTATTAAAAAAATCACACATATAATAAACAAAATTTTAAAACTGGGGATGGTTAGAAAGATCTAAACAACAATGAAAAATGTCAACTTGCCTGCAATGTCTTAAAAGCTCCATACACTGTATCACATTTGACAAAAAAAGAGACATACATATATTATGATAGCAGACACTGCCACAACTGATCAATGATTTCAAATCTGCAGCATAACTATGAGATCTTATGACCAACTTCTGTTTCCTAGTACAATAATCAGAAGACTATTTCTTAGTTCAGAAAAAATATTGACTTCCTAACTCTAAACTATCAGACTGTCTAACTACTTGATTGCATCTTAATGGGTTTTTTTTTTTTTTTTTTTTTTTTTTAAATTTTGTTATAATGCTACTCATTTTAGACAATGATGGAAACATATTTGCACAGAATGAATGAACTTCTGAGCTACAACTAACAATGTCCTTAAATGAAATCAAAGCTTTCTCATCAGGACTAAAAAGCACTTTCAGAGTATTTAATACATATAATGTCTTCATTTTTATACATATCAGTGAACTAAGGATGTCTAGCGACTTCATGTTACACAGTACAGAAAATTTCACGTGAAAATATAAAGACTGTACAAGGAAGATTAAAATCATATTTTCAACTTTTAGTATACACATTTGAATTATTTTAGAATTTTCACAAACCTCCTTTCCTTCTGAACAGTACCCTTGAACAAAAGCTTTACACAATTCTGCATCTGGATTTAAATTTTCATGTCTATATGGACAGTTAATTTTACTGCATGTTCCCAAAAGATAAAATGAACAGATTGCCATTTTTCCAGGACAAATTTCATGAGAAAAGGGACAGCCATCAATCTTGCAGGTGCCACGCAAAAACCTTGGATAATAAAATATTTTTTAACAGTTTAATTAATATGAAATTTATTTTTTAACCTAATTTAAATAAAACTTTATGCAATCAGTACAGATGCATTAACATATCATAAAAATACACAATTTTTTTTAAACATAAATAAGTTTTATATTTCTGTAATTGTTCATATTTTATATAGCTCAAAATCAGTGACTGCAATACTGAACTAGAAATACATTACCAGTTTGGTACATTTTTAAATGTTGTACTGGGATACCAATATTAGGAATTTTTCAAAAAAGATACAAAATCACAGTTGTTTGTTTGCCATATTCATTAGTTTTATATAAAAAGTGCACAAACTATAAAAATATAATAATAATAATTTATTATATTAGAAACAGAAAATGTAAAAAATAAATCTTTACCGCAATACAACAGAACTAAAGGAACAAAACCTATAGTATTACTACTAAGAAAAAATATCATATAAAAATCTTGTTGTCTAGTATATATAATATTTATTAAAAAAAAGCTAATTTATTAACTGCACATTTTTTAAATGTGATCATAAAAAAAAGTAATTCATCTATTGAAGTGGAACTCATTAAGCCTAGAATATATTTTTGTGCACAAAATTACATGTAGTTGAAAATGCTCTTTCGGCATGCATGCTGGTTGGTGGTACTGTTAGAAATGAACAATATGTTTTCTCTAAATGTTTGCCTTGAAGTCTTTCATCTTCCAGCAACTTGGTCTCAACTCTCATGGTTTTGGATAAATCTGTTTTTTAATTACTTTTGCATTATTATTTGCAGTAATTCTTTCATTTATAGCTAATTGTAACTTCTTGTGACAATTATTTTCTATTATTAATATCATCTTCAATGAATTCCTCTGATTATGTCTGTGTTTGCTTTTCAAAAATGTTTTTGGAGAAATGTTTTGAAATTCTTCGTGCAGCAATAGCTATGAGGTGTTAGGGAAGAAATCGAGGTCTGAATACTCTAATGAAAACTGGTTGGCAGTTGAGTCATGTGATGTATGCTTAGGTTTCATACACGCTTCATACTTGACCTCAACATTACACAACCAAACATAGGAGATCGGAATGGAACAGCAAATGATTGATGCTAGTACTGCCACATTGATTTTTAAAAAAAAATAAAACATTAAAATAAGCATTTCAAATAACAGTAGATACCTAATAAGTTAGATATAAACCTTTAATAATAAAAAATTATTGCTTATAGCTAATACCGCAAACACGGTATTTTATCTTAGAAAATACCGGTTTCATGAAATTGCAAAATGGCAAAAATTATTAGTATTGCAATTAATACTCAAATTATTAAGCCGCATAAAATATGATGCTGCATGGCTTGCAAAACTTCCATTATTAAAAATGTCACATTCACAATACACTAAAAGTACATATTTTTAAATTCATACCGTGTGCAAACTGCAATTTTGCTGGGGTCATGGATGTAAGGACACTTAATACCTTTATTGCACCTTCCAAATCGATTATAAAACATACAATATGTGTTGATTTTAATTGCCTTTTTCCTAACTGATGCAGTAAGAGCTCTATTAATGCTGCGATTCAAAGCACGGCTGAAAATAAAATTTCAAACAATAAGAATTCTTTGAAAATAAAAGGTAGAAGAATTGCTTTTGTACTGTTATATGGAAAACATCTGAAATTAAATAAACAAATTTTATTCAGCCATTACATAATTTTAAATTAAAAACATTCTGTTATCAATGCTTAACTGCACTAAACTAAAAAAAAATTATGATACCTGCATATAAGCAAGTTAATAGATTTTCAAATTGTCCCCTACATGTTACAAAAAAAAAAAAAAAAAAAAAAAAAAAACCCTGCAAAGTAAATACAAACAAGAATTTTAAAATTAACATTATTAAATGCATAACATTTTTTAAGAAATTGTATATTATATTATAAAACTGCTTTCCAAATGTATAAAAATCTCTGCCAGAACAAGGGGAAAAAAAAAAAAAAAAAAAAAAAAAACCTCTTAAAAGAATAAATGATAACAATATGTATCAATTTTATTTATTTTTTACAATACTTAAAAATTTTTTACTTTAATTAAGACAAAATTTAGTTAAAAAAACTAATAAAATTATCATTACATTATATTTTCTTATACCTAGCTAATGTCTTTGAAATGGGCGAAGAAGCTTTCATTGTATCAGAAGTACTCCTTATAAATGTTTTTCCACCTATAAAAATTCTTTTGGGCACTTGCGGGGATTGTACAGAACCTATTAAGTAATCAACATGATATACAAACTACTCAAGTATCATATATAATACAGATATTGATAACATAACACAGTAAATGGAATAAACGTATAAATGAATACAGTCAAAACATCTGTAAAGGCCCGTCTACACGTAGTGATTTCCTCGGCCGACAATATCTGAGATAGCTCGCCTGTCCACACAGAACAATATTCTCATTAGTACAGGAATTCACTCAGACAATCACTGTGAAAGGAAGTGTTCCTGCCTTCTACAGCATCACACTGTCTACAATTTGTAAACAAAGCTTACGGTGTTGTCAAATAGTCAAAATAATGGATGACTATTTTACTTTAAATTGCTACTATAGATACAGCTACGGAAGCAGGGGGAGAAAACACGTTTAGACCAGAAATTGGGTTGAATAACGAGAAATTCATGGTGCCTTCGTAATACCCTGCTCCAGGAGTTGCGTATTGAAGACACGGTACAATTTGGAAAGTATTTACGCATGATGCCGCGTGATTTTGATGTTTTGCTAAATTTAGTTTGCAGCAAAACTTTAAAAAAATATATATGCTTTTCCTTTGTGTACAGAGTGCACAGATTACTCCTCTTTTATTTTATTTATTTATTTTTTTTTTATTTCATTTTCTGGCACTCCTATTTGTGCGCTTAAATCTTGAAATAATAAAATAAGTAACTATTGTGCTTTAAATCAAAACCTTTATTAATGAATAAATAGAGAATAATGTCATGAAAATCAAATCAGTATAAGTAAAAAGTAGTAATAAAGAATAAAGATTACTACATTACAAAGCAACAGTGTAATTTCAGTGCAAAAATTTCAAATAAGAAATATCATAAAGGTGCAAAGTCTTAAGTAGTGTATTTATTAAACACTAAAAAAATAATATCAGCATAATTAAATAACTAATACAGTCTGAAAGCTATGATCATATGACTATCAGTTAATCAGCTAATAAAATTTAGCAATATTTTGTATTAAATTGGGTTGTAATTTGTTTTTGCAAAACTTGATTAACACAAAACTGAGTTTGTGACTTGCGACTTCTTTTGAGCTGGTACGCAACTACTAAAGTTTTCACCAGTAGATCTAAAACACGTGCCAATGGCCATTCGTAAAATAAAAAGGCATTAAAATTCAATAAACACCACACCATAAAATAAAAAGGGACTTTTAAGTCATGCAGTTCGAATTTAGTGATGGAGAAACAAAATTAAAAAGTCCTTGCAGGTGCAGAAAGTCCAAAATTAAGGTGGGGGATCGAACTCACGATCTCGATATACGGTGAAAACCTGCTCTACGCTTTACCACTGGGGTATGATCGCTCATTTTCGTTCAGCAAAGCCAACGAGTGTCTGCGCTGCTTTACATCAGCCGTAATTTCTCAACTGGAGATTTTGTTTTCTGAATTTTTCAATAAGTGCGACCACAGTTTCAAGTAGTTCCTGAATATTTACATATCGTACCCGTGATATGGCACCATTAATAGTTTTTGGAACTTTTCTTGGAGAAGTTAAAATAATTTTCACCCCGAATAGAAAATATTTGAATATATAAAGTAATGGGAAAGACAAAAGCTTACCAAAATAGGAGAATCCCTTAATTTTTTATTTTTAAAATTTGCATTACTCGTATCCCACAACACAACATTTTCTCTATAGAAATCTATTAGTTGAAAAATTTGAGTTTCGCTCCAACGAAATGCAGCCATGTTTATTATTCAAATGTGGAGAAAAGCACGTGATCACTCAAAGCAATCTTATTGGCTAGAGACTCCAATTTTATCGTACGCTAGTGAGCAGTGAACAAAAGTTCCAAAATCGAGGCAGAGAACATGACCAATTTTTTGCGCATGTGCAGATCCTTAAAATTGTTGCTCTACGAGAAAGTCGGCTGAAAAAAATCGCTTCATATAGACAGACCTTTAAAGTTAACATATGCAAGCAGAGAGCAGTGCGAGAAAATAGTTCTGATTTTCGATGGATGGCGTGGCATTACATATTAAGACTCACATGATTTTTCACCACCCAGACTCTCATCATAATCCTTTTTCTAGATAGTTTAGATTTCATTTGAATAGAAATAGTTATTTTCCTTCAGATCAATTATTGATATGACTGTTTAGATGTTCAGTTATTTTGATTTAAATCTGAAATCACATGATAAATGTAATTAAAAGATTTAATTATATAAATAAAAATTCTTATTAGTGATGCGACTTATAATTCTTATTAGTGTTGATTTGATCTTCATAATTCTAAGCATACCAGATGCAGCATATAAATACAAAATAATACTGCTATGAATTTTGTATGTAACTCGAGTGAAATTGTAGGTTTTTTTTTTTTTTTTTTTTTTTTTTTTTTTGTATAATGTAACATGAAATGCTTTAAAGAGATGATGCTCTGATGAGAAAATAATATTACAAGGGGCAAATCTATTTAACATTGAGTAAATGGCCATCTCCCTAAATTGCTGAGATATCACCACGCTGGCGAAGGTTCTGGCGACTAAATTTTGTTGCCAAACTTGGCAACATTTTGGTTCGGCCCCTGTGTAACTGTAATCGGTATAGTGTCTGAATAAATCCAATTGATCCCTATATAACTGTAACCATATCCAGCCCTCATATGACTTTCAGTAATTTTGTGAAGGAGAAAGTACTAGAGATTTCTTAGTGGCCCGGGGGAAAACTATACAAGACCGGACACAGCATCAGTTTTTCTCAGTTGTTAGCTGAGATCTGACAGTTGAAATGGTCAAATTCAGAGATGAATTTGGTGTACTGAGATATGAGTGAGAGCTTAGATGAGCTCTGCACTTCATTGTGCTTAACATTCTTAGTAGTTTGAAGTGTAACTACTGATTGTACCCTGTGATACTGAAAAGAGCTGTAAGAGTGTTTTTGTGGAAAGTTCCAGAACTGTAAAGTTTTTTTTTTTTTAATTGTAAAATAATTTGTATCAATCAAGCTATCATCGATTCTGTGTGCATTCCATCCATTATGAACATACACGCATACAATAATTTTTGGTGTCGGGAGTGGAGTTGAATGCCATTCATAAGAGCACTGCAGAAGCAAATAAGACAGCTGGTGCCTTTGCTGCATTCGGATAAGAAATGAAAGTGGACTAAGAATTCATTAAAGAAAAGCTAAAAGTGGTCCAAGAATCTATTAGAGAAGAGAAGAAAGTAGGCCAAGAAAAGATGGAATACCATTAAAGTAGAGATGAAAGTCGTCAATGAAACTCCATTAAAGTACAGATGAAAGCTGTCAATGAAACTCCAGTAAGTAGAGATGAAAGCCGTTAATGAAAAGATTGAAATAAGTCAAGAGAAAATAAAAACAGAAATTTCTGCCATAAAAGAAAATAAATTTGAAGCTATGGAAGGTACAATAGACACAGTTGAAGATACAGTTAGAGAAATTCAATTTGCCTTTAAATTTAAAGTTGTCTGAACCTTCAGTAAAGCTATCCACATATGATAACTTCTTAGCAAGTGTACAAAGATGCACTTTTCTATAGTGGCAAACACAAATGAATAGGATTCCAAAGCTAAAGCCTGCGATCTCCATTCTCCAAGAGCAGATGCAGTAGAACAGACATAACAGATATGTTTCAAATTCTTCCTGAAAACCATATTTCAAAGCTGTATCTGGCGTGTTAGTGCTGCAGTTTGGCAAGAAGTGTTTAAAAGACTATAGCAGGCTTCTGTTAAAATCTTGTTGACAGAAGACCATGGAAACATTACAGGAGCTCGCAACAGATGTTGAAAAGCTTTCTCATATTGCCTTTTTGAACTGCCCATCAGAAACAAGGGAAATCCTGTCCTTGCAATACACTTCATAAATGGCATCTACAGCATGTCCACTAATCGGCCCTCGATTTTAAAATTAAATTACTCCTAAACAAAGAATTAGATACAGAGACTCCAGGAATATGACTTCAGTACCTGTCATCCGATGATATGCTGTCTAGAAGACCCTACCCAGAAAAATGTTGATATTATTTCAGAGTAGAAGAGAGACATGAGCTGCTTAATCCAATCGAATGTCAAGTTATGAATTCAATATCATCTGACCCAGATCCATGGAATGACGAAGAAGTCTGGAAAGACCAGTTGGAAGACGGCAACATTAAATCAATAATTTGTTAATGAAATCTTCAAACAGGAAACCTAACCGGCAAAACATTTCGATCCTACAACAAAACAATATTCGGCTCTCTGGGGCTAAGTATTTGAAATTAGTGTCTTGTACCAGAAGTAGAATCAGATGATCAAAAAGAATTCCGATGGCTGCAGATACTTCCAGATTTTCAATCCCAGATGTCCTTAACCCTTTGAGGACCAGCACGTGAAGAACAAAGCGCAGCCACGGGACCGAACCTCCTGAAATGCAACGTCGCCAATGGCCCATGTATTTTCAGCAGTTAAACGTACTTAAAAAAAAAAAAAAAAAAAAAAAAAAAAAAAAAAGAACTGCTCTTATATGCGCCCTCAGGTCACTAAATTTCTCGCCAAACATTGCCGAGAAACTCCACGGTCCTATATTACTACCTAAATTTTTTGTCTACATTTCGAATTTTAAGCCTGAAATTTCTCCAAAAGCTCAGTTTTTGCCTATGCAAAAACCACGTTTTGAAGGCACAATTTAAAATCCGAAACAAAAACAAAAAATTTAGATAGCAAAAGCATAAAGTTTCTAACCAAAAATATTCGACAAGAATCCATGTACACAGGGATATGTTTTAACTTAAAAAAAAAGTCTACGAATTGCACATTCTAGGCAGTGAAGGAATCTACAAACTATGTACACCTCGCTTCAATAAATCAACATAAGAACAATAAATTTCAAAGAATACCATGTACACAGCATTCTGTTTAAAGTTAAAAAAACATCTACGAATTGCACAAGCTAGGCACTACGCACAAATCAACCAAATAAACTAAATTACAAACAATTAAGAAAAACAACAATAACAGAAATTC